CCCCAAAACCCCAAAACCCCAAAACCCCAAAACCCCTCCATTTAGTCCGGAATTGAAAATATTTATGTTGTAATCATCATGAATTAACTCACTATTCTTCGTTATAGATCGCGGCTTTAGTATTGAAGAAATCCAGAACATTCTCAATCTTCTTCAAATTGCTTCCTTTTAGATGGAAAAAGTGATTGGAAAGCTTGGCACAAATCAGCTGGAAGCAACGGTTATTATCATAAAGTTTCCTGTATGACATCTTGGAAGCCTTAATTCTTTCTTTACAGTTCACCACCTTCCTTTCGTACACCTCTTTAGAAATGGATCCTTCCTTGAGTAACTCTTTTAGAAGAATTTGACATTTGGCATCTGGAAATGACAAGTTACAGAAATCTCAAAATATATCTATGAACCCTTTGAGTCAATTGTCTCTTTTACATAGAGGAAAAAGAGGTAAGAATCCACTTATGAAGCATCTTAGATACGAACGGAGGACAACTTTCATATCTCTTGATTTATATTGACACTTAGAGCCAATGTACTTCAGAAAGAGATCTGGAATTTTCTTAATATATCTACCAACAGATGCAAAGAAAGCGTCACTTCTTTGGTCTCTTGTGAGTCTTTTAATAAGCTCTATTTCCCATTCCTCCATGACATTATTTTAAGGCGGGGATTCTTGTGTCTTTCAGAACCTCTGGACGGCCTCTTTTGCTCTTGTTAGCCTCTTTAATAACTGGGTAATGGTGCAGATGAATTGTCATCTGGATCTGCTGTATCATTGTTGGGGCTTCTTCAGGGGTTTCATACTCCTTGCTCTTTTGTGGTTGATATTTCCAATCATTTATAAGCTCACCTTCTTGCTCTTTCTCTTCTGATACAGTAGTATCTAATTGAATAGTATTCTCTGCAGGAGTTAAATCTGGGAACTTTAAAAGTCCGACATATTTATTACATTCCGTAATGCTATTTTTAAAGTCTAGGAATAACTCATCAATTTCATGTAATTGGCGCTCGCGATATTCGCATTTTGTTGCTCTCATTCCTAGACAGGTAAAATTAGCACCATATAGAATTTCTAATAAGCACAGAATTGTTTGGATATATTATAGTTGAGATGAAGAATTTAATTCAACGAAAGACTTCGTCATGTTAACTTACCTCTATTTATTATACTAATCTCAATCTAATAAAGTTTAACTGGGGTTTTGGGGTTTTGGGGTTTTGGGGTTTTGGGGTTTTGGGG